TATTTTCAACGTGTATGCTAAAACCCATTCTTCACACGCCATCAAAGCCACTTTCTGCACCGCTTTTATCATCTCCCCACTACACAACACTCCGTCAAGATGCCATCAAATTTCGTGCTCGAATCTCGCCCTCATATTGCGCAAAGATTGAACGCGCCATGACCGCAAAAATGTTGCCTTTAGCCACTCTAATTTAAATTTCACGAATTGCGGTTTCTTTATGCAAATTTACCAACGAGTACGATGTCTTTGCCAAGTGGAATCGCCTGCGTGTTTGATAGTGTCGGGTATGCATCCGCAGGGAGTCGCTCAGTGAGTGCGTGCAAGCCACCAATCTAGACAGCAATCGTAACCACCTCGATGGCGTCTTGTCTGACGTACAAATGTGGGTGCGACAGTGATGATGGCGTGGTGTAGGATCCCGCTTGGCGTGTGCGCGTGATCACGGAGAACACTCGTAAGGATCGAAGCACCACCTTCAATCATGACGCTTAGCAGTCCGAGCGCCCGCAGTTTGTCTACCACGAAATCATGGACACAGACTAGGCGAGCCGATTGTACCAAATGCGTCTGACCAGTCAATGTGCGTGGTGCCAGCACACTTGCACGGGATGATCCTGGCGCCATGGGCTTCCAGCGTCGATTTGCGAGCCAATTTACCTGTCGTTCGTTCCCGACTCGATGCTTTCAAAATGCGTCCGTACCTTGGTCCCAATGACCATCGGTCGTTAAAACCCACGGGCGCTTGCAAAGAGGCGAGGTAAGGAGCTTGCAGTCCAGTGGGAGCTCGAGGCGCGTATCCACAATGATCGGCTGCGGATTCTCAAACGGTGGTGGCACGAGACGCACCGTGAGTGACGGATTGTCCGCTTGGATCGTGCCCACACCCACGAGAATGCCATCGTGGAGCGTGCGCAGCTGATGGGTCATGGCCATGGACTCGGGGCCGCTCAGCAGCGTGGGCTGGCCTGCACAAGTACATGTCGTCGTCGTCATACTAGAAGAGAGCCTACCGCGGATGGCAGCAATGGAGCCGTCGAGGCTCTGCGCGTAGGTCATGGTCACATGGAGGCGGCCGGTCGACTGGGCGTCGATGACGCCACGAGTGTGGAAGTCGACGACGGCGTCCATGGGATCCAACTCGCGCGATTTCTTGAAGCGCGCTGTTTTGTCAACGCCGAACCCGGTTGCATGTTTATAGTATTACATACAAAGACCAAGTTAAGTTAAACCGACGCTTTTTTAGCGAGAGTGCACTTTCTCAAAACGAGGCGCATTTTGAGTTTGCACACGAGAGCGATGCTGCGGCCGGTCAAGTTTCTTTGGTCGCTCGTCGTTGCGTCGTGGCCCATCATCGTGGCCCACGTGCAGGAGAGCCTCCAGCGTCTCCGCCGGTATGAGTTTGCCGAGATCATCTCGGACCTCTCGAGCTTCTCGTTCCGCTGGATCATGCGCTGCGTGCAGCTGCTTGTCTTTGCCATCCTCCTTCTCTCGTCCGCATCGGCCATCTACGGCGGCTTTTACTACCTCATCATGCCGGCCAAAGTGCTCCAGCGGTGCGTCCTTCGTCGCCATGTACTCATGCTCAAGACATCGTTGGCGTAGGCCGCTCTTCTTTGACTACGGTGTCCATAGTGACTTTGCGCAGCTCTCGGCGGAGTCGCCGTACGTGAGCTCCAACCGCGTGCACTTGCCGATCGCGCAGCTCGAGCTCACGACGGGCGAGAATGGCCGCGACCAGTGGCACTATAGCGACGCGGTCGAAGTGAGCGAGACCAAGTCGCTGCCGTTGACGCACCTCACAAAGTACGACGTCGTGCTCGACTTCGAGTTTGCACAGACGCCTGTGAATGAACACATTGGCATGTTCATGGTGCGCACCCAAGCCCTCGGCGAAGGGTACGCGCTGCCTCTCCTTGACTTGCGTTTTGCTCATTCATAAGACTAGAAAGACGCCGTTGGCGACGAGCGCGCGCCCAACCTTTGTCCGCACGTCGCACTGGCTCGTGGACCTCGTCTCGCAGTTTGTGTGGATCGTACCGACGCTGACCCTTGGCTATGACGCGTCACTGACGCAGCACCGGACGCTCGTGGTCATGAACGGCTTTGAGGAGCGCCGCGTCCGCGCCGTCGAAGAGATTTACGTCGAGCTGAGCCACCCGCGCGTGCAGATCGTGTCGGCCAGCGTGAGCATCCTCGCGCAGCTCTCGGGCATCCGGTACCTCATGTACCACTGGTTCTTTACGACGGCGGTGGTTGCGACGCTCAATATCGCGCTCGTCCAGCTCTTTTGGTGCTTTGTGTTGTACTTGTACATCACGTTCCCGACGCTCCACGGCGTCGACGTCATTCCGACCGACGACGACCAAGAACAGCTACCGGAAGAGCCCAAGGAGCACGACTCGGCCGACGAAGTCCTCGATGACGACGACGAGTACGATGGCCCCCAAGTGTACGAGTCGGAGCTTATTCTGCCGCCGACACCGAAAGAGAGCGTGCGCCAGCGCCGGTCGTCACCGACCCAAGTGCCTGTCTTGTAAATCGTTTAAGAAGCATTTTGTAAATGGAATTTTGGCTTGGGTTCACACGTCGGTAAGTTCTTAGTTGAACGACATCAACGTCGACGACAGTGCTAGCAGGTCGTCTTTAGTTTTTAGCTACCGAGATGTATAACTTCTACTCGTACTACCGAATCGCAATGCAGCCGCAGCACATGCGCGCCCGCGGCGGCGCCGGCGGGTCTTCGAGGAACGACGTCTGGTTGTCGCCACCGACATTGGGCGCCGACTGCGGCGACGACGGCGGCGCGCGCTTGAGCGCCTCGTAAAGGCCGTCAATCGTGGTCGTTTCACTGTACAGGACTTCTTCGGGGGCGTGCACCCCGTACTCGTTGGCAATGATTCCTTGCAGCTGCGTGAGACCCATCGAGTCCATACCCAACTAGACATATTAGACGAGTGCCGGGTGTGACGTGTCGACGTACCTCGTGGAGCGTCGTGGCGTTCGTCACGTGCGTCTTGGGCACATTGAGGAGCTGCGCAATCTCGGAGCACAGAAAGGTCGTGACCGATGCCGCTGGGACGCTTTCAAAGGGCGGGTACGTGCGCTTGGGACCTGGCGGATGGTTCACCGCGGTCTCGTCGGGCGACCGGTCGTCGAGGTTGATGGAGCGGTGGAGCTCGCTCAGCGATTGCCCAAGAAAGGCCGTTTTGCAGCGCCGGCGCGAGATCTTGCCGCTCGTCGTCTTGGGAATCGAGCGCGACTCGACAAACACAACGCCCGTGAGCTGCACGCCGTGCTCGGCTGCAATCGCGCTTCGGATCGCATTGGCGAGCTCCGACAGCGGCTGCGACGCCTCGGGACGGACTTCGGCCAGCACACACAGCACCTCGTCGTCCTGGCCATTCAGAGCCACAGAGAACGCCGCCGAGCAGCCCGGGCGAATGGCGTCGAACGCTTCCACCGATTTCTCAATGTCCTGCGTCGCACGTCAGACTCCTGCGGACAAGGCGACGCGCGTACCTGCGGGTAATGGTTGCGGCCACGGACAATGATCAAGTCTTTGAGACGCCCGCAGACAAAGAGCTACTCCATGTCAAATGTAGAGACCGCGCTTTCAACACTGCAGAACGTACCTGGCGCTCGCAAAGGACACCGAGGTCGCCCGTCCGCATGTAATGCACCTCGGGCGCGTCAACGAGCGAGGCGTGAAACATCTCTTGCGTGAGCGCCGGCAAGTTGAAGTAGCCTTGCGTCGTCGACGAGCTCCGGATCCAGATCTCACCGACGGTACCGTCGGGCTGCGTCCGGCGGGTGTCAGCGTTGACAATGCGCATATCGACTTTGGGCTCGCCGCACCCCACCATGTCCTTGACGTCGTTGGCCGGTGTCGCTGCCGTCGCCCGCTCCATCTTGTCTTCCGACTCGAGCACCGATTTGACGACGCGGAGGTGCGTCAGTGACGGCGACGAGTCACACACGTACACCGTGTGCTCGGCGAGCCCGTACGTGGGTCGGACGACGCCGCGCGGCAGCCCGAGTGGAGAAAAGGTTGCATAAAACGCCTCGATTGCGTGCACGTCGACGGGTTCGGCGCCGTTGATCATGTGGCGGACGCTCGAGAGGTCGAGACTCGACGGCGACGACGGCTTGAACTTGCGCGCGCAGAGCGCGTACGCAAAGTTGGGTGCTTGCAGATGCGTCGCCTTGTGCTTGGCCATGAGCTCAATCCACAGCGACGGGTTCTTGATGAACGAAAAGGGCGAGAGGTAGACGCCGTTGCCGCCTAGTCCGTGGCTCGAGCCCCATGCAGTTTCAAGGGAATAGGATGTCGGGTACCTGCAAAGAGAATCCCCAAGTAGGCGCCGATGAGCCCCATGTCGTGGTACTGCGGAAGCCACGACACCACGACCGCGTCCGTGCGCGCTGCGAGCGCGTCGACAATTAGATGCAAGTTGCTCGTGAGGTTGCCATGTGAGATCATGACGCCCTGATACCGTGAGGATAGTACGCCTCGCAAGAGTGGCGTGAGATGCTACCTTGGGGTCGGACGTCGACCCGGACGTGTACTGGAGAAACGCAATGGCGTCGGCGCTGGGCGCCGCAAGCGTACTTGAGCTCGGCGCGGGCGCGTGGACGAGCCGGTCCGTCTCGACCCACGCGAGGTCGGGCCACGGGTAGCGCTCCGAGAACGTCATCTTTTGCTTGATGTCGAGGATCTTCTTGACGTGGTTGTAGCTCGCGCACGTGAGCGCCGTCTTGGCGCCGGCGTTCGAGCACACGGTCGTGAACATGACAATGTCCTTGCGCAGCTTGCGCGGGTCTACGTCAGGTACGAATATGAGGCAAGCGACAACGCGTTGCCACTGCAAGTACCGGGTGGGTAGACGGGCACGGCGACGACGCCAGCGCGCAAGCACGCAACAAAGGCCACGATAAAGTCGAGGCCTGGTGGGTACACGAGCAGCACCTTCTCGTCCGGCGACAGACCCATGCTAGAACGTCTAGTGAGTCTAAACACGTGCTTGTAGGTGGCTGTGCACCCTTTGGCCGACGCTGGCGCACGCATCCAGCGGGCGAGGTTGAGCGTACGCTCGTCCAATTCCTACAGGCAGGTTGTAGAGCATGGTCGCCTGGCGGCGCCTCTACCTTGTACGTCAACGAGGCCGTGATGATGCCATTGTCATCTGCAAAGGCGTAGACCGTCTATGCACAACGGGTTCTTAGGGCCATGCTCGTACGATCGGCCGGAAGCGGACCTTCTCGGGCTGCTCGGCGCCCCAGCGGTCCAGCCGCGCCAGGAGGGTATCGGCCATGGCCCAGAAACTTACAAACTGGCACCTTGTGGATACTTGTTTTTTTATAATCGCATCGTATATACAAACATCAAGTTATTTTATTGTGGTCAACGTATCGAGGTGCCGGATAACTCACTGCTGTCGCATATCCGGATACACGTTGCCCAAATCCGCAGAGGTCGTGCCACGACAGCGACGACCGGACGTCGACCTCGCTTGCCGCCGCATTGACAGCTCCTGCATGCGACGACGATGAAGCCAAGGTGGGCGCGCCGGTCTACCACCAGCGCGAAGCATGTTCATGCCTTAGAAGCGACTAGCTATCCTAGGTCTACTTGGCCGGCGTGGCCATGCTGTCGAGCACTGCGTAGAGGACGGCAAAGAAGCCGACAATGACCGCCACGATGATGGCCATCGTCAATGGGCTGGTCGTGTTTTCGATCGCGGTCTGCGCTGCCGCCGCCGCCTGCTCCTCTTCCGTGCCTTCGGGCTCTTCGGGCTCTTCCTGGACCTGGCGCGTCCATCGCTTCTTCGTCCGAGCAATCGCCGCTACCCGTGTTGGTTTGAGGTTGACACCTCACATGCGATAAATGTCTACCAGCGCGAGCGATTTGCGCCTTTTCCGCCAGCTTCTTCTCTTCGGCCAAGTCGCGCACGGGCGGTTGCTTCTTGCCCTTGGATTTTGTCGCGACAGGTGCTTCGACAGCAGCTTCTTCGTCGAGCATGACGTCACTGCGCGCGTACAAAGCCGCCGCCGTCAAGCCACGACGGTTGGTCGCCGACACAGTGTCGGGAAATGTCTCGCAGAGGAACGCCCCGACCGGCGACGGCCACGGCTTTTTCGGGTCGCAATGAGCGGCTTCCGCGTGCAGCGGGAGGTCGCCGGCGTGGTTGGGAATGGCTTTGGCGCCCTATAGCAATGTACATATCGTACGGCGAAGGACCCTCTTCCAGGAACGTACACGCTGGCAGAGCAGGGTTACGATCTCGGGCGCGTCTTGGCTTTGGCCCATGCACGCCCAGTGCCTACAGCAGCCCATCATGACGACCCAGTCGCACGACCGAGATGCACGCACAGGGCCGTGTTGCCGTTGGCGTCGACGGCGTTGATCGCGTGGCCCTTCTGCGCCAGCAGCTGTACGATCTCAAAGTTGCCTCGGCCCGCGGCCGCAATCAGCGGCGTCATCTTCGTCTTGGTCTCTGGAAGGTCCAAGTTGGTCTTGGCTTTGAGAAAGATCTTGACAGCGTCGACATTGCCGTACTCTACGCTGGCTGAGCGCCACGCGATATATGCGATGACGACGTACGAGCAGCGAGGTGGAGCGCAGTCTGCCCCGACACGTCCTTGATCGTCAGGTCGGGCTGCGCCTTCATCATGATCTGCACAGACACATTGCTAGCTGTGACTGCAAATGTGGCGGCGATGGCAACGCACCTCGAGCATGTCGAGGTAGCTTTGCGGCTGCTGCGCCAGCGCCAGCATCAACGGCGTGAAGCCAGCCTTCTTCTCCTGAAGGTTGACATTCGCGCGGTGGTTCACGAGGAACTCGACCATTTCAAGCTGCGCTTCGGCGACCGCCACATGCAGGGCTACATGTCGTCAGGTGCTTGGACCGTGTCGACGCGCGTACCTGACTCGCCCTTCTTGTTCTGGAAGTGGATGTTGTCAAGGAGCTTCTCTACCTTGTCAATGTCGCCATTGCCTACGCTGGTGCATGAGGCTCGCTGTCGTCGGAGCGGTCCGACCTGCTGCCTTGAGGAATTGCGCCATGGCTTCTGGTTCGTCAACAGGACAACCTTGAGGTGCCCGCCCTGTCTCTAGGAACACGCAACTTCCTACCACGTACGTGTAGCACCCTCGGCGCGCTGCTTGGTTGACTCGGTTTTTGTACAGTGTACGGCAAAGTGGATCTTGGCTGCTCACGTCACGGTGTATCTCGTTCATATTTGTGCGTTAGTAGGGGTATATAGGTGTATAATTGTCGTATTGGTTAAGCACCTCGGTTCTTCTGACCCCACATCGCCCATGCTTGTGCAACAAAGTTCCTCGACCTCGCCCAAGTTGCGTGCCATCAGCCTCGAAAACCTCCCGTGGCTATAATACTTCGATCGAAGATCCAATACAAGAGGTTGTTTGACGTAATTCGAACTTCGAAGCAGAATATTTTGGGCTCACTTTTTGGGTCTTATCTTTCCCACCAAGCTCGAGCAAGGTCGACGCAAGCAACCGAGCCCTCTCATGGACGGTGACGGAGGTAGAACGAAGAAGCTCCATGCTTCCTCGCCCATCTTGACCTTATGAACCCATGCTCGTAGCATCGGTCAGCATGCCCCTCCGCAACGTCGACAGCGTCAAGCCCGACGGCGTGTACCTCTCGCCCGTCGAGAAGGCGCGCATCCTCACACTGCTGGCCAACATCCAAGCGGAAGTTGCAGTGCAAGAGAAGCGTCTCCAAGAGCAAGCGCATCTCCTCGACTACCAGCAGCGCGAACTCGTGACACTGCGCAAGGCCAATGGCAAGGTCGATGTCGCGCTGAGCCCAAAGGCGCTCAAGGACATGCCCGACTTGGAGCCACACGAAGAGAGCGACTGCGCGTCTACCATCTCAGAGCCTGCGCCAGAGCCGAGCCCGACCCTTTCCGAGCCGAGATCGAGCGTCGTGCTCACGATTGCTGACATCCACGAGGAGCTTGAGAGGTTTCCGAACGACCTGCCGCTGCGCAAGCACGTCGAGTGGCTCTGCGACCATGTCGCCAACAACGCCGCATCGTCCATGCAGCGTCGGATTTCACTGCCCAACATCAAGGCGCTGCAGCTTGTCCTTGCCAAGCTCATGGACCAAGCCACGTCCACGGCGTCGTACGTCGACCAGCTTCGTCGCACGGACGACCCGTCGATCGAGATGGCAGCACAAAGCAAGCCCTCGACAAAAGAAACCGCTACCAGTGGTGTTCCTGCCCAGTACGAAGCGCTTACTGCATCCCACAAGGCGCTTCAAGCCGCGTACAGTGACCTACAAGCCCGGTACGACCATGCGTGCAGTCGTCACGCGGCAAGCTTGGAGGCTGCTGAGACGCAACTCATGTCATTGCACGAGCAAGAGACAACGAGATCATTTACTCGCAATGCCATCACTGTCGACTTGGAGGTGGCGCAAGCCGACGCGTCGGTCGCTCGGCGCCAGCTCGTCGACGTCGAAGCGCAGCTCAGCTCGATGACGGACAATGCGCGTACGTTGCAAGCGCACTGTGGAGAGCTCGAGGCGTACATCGAGTACTTGACGGCGACGCTTGAGACGTCACAGGCCGACCAAGACCGCGTTTTGCACAAGCAGCGCGAGACCGTCGAGGCGCTGGAAGACACGATCGCGCAGCTTCGTGCTGCGCATGCGGCCACGATGGCCTCCCTCGAGCACGATAAGGCGCGCTGGAGGCGCGAGGCAGCCTCACCCACTGCCCTCCTTGGACGACTCAAGACCCAAGTCACGGCGCTGCAGCGCGACGTTACGGCGCTCAAGGCGGAGAATGTTCGACTGCGCGACGAGGGCATCGGCAAAGCAAGCGAGCTTGCGGCGACGGTAGCGTGGCAGGCAACCATGAAGGATCTCGTAGCCAAGGTCGAGGTCGTGAACGCCGGCCTCTTGGACGACTGCCGCGACGCCAAGGCCCGCATCGAGGTGCTTGAAAGCGAGAAGGCGGAGCTCCAAGCGAAAATGCACGCACCTCGTTACGACGTCCACGCCGCCCAAGACGAGTGTGCTACTAGTCCGCGGTACGCAGGCAAAGCTCGTGCTCGAGTTGTGTTTTCTTATCCGTTGCAAGTAGATCGACGCCATCGATGGAGACGCTCGAGCGACTACAGTCGGTCGAGGCCAAGTACAAGCGAGCGCGCCATCTCTACGGCATGCTCAAGTCGAGCTTTGGTCGCCTCCAAGCGAGCCACGACATGCAGAGCCGCGAGCTCGACCGGCTCCGGGATCTCCTCCGCACACGCGACAACCAGCATGAACCCGAAAACGAAGCGCTTCTGCCCCATGACACGAAAGAAGGCACGAGCATCCACACGCTGCATGACATGGTAAGCGCTCGGCTTCTCGAGTTCAAGTCGGCCCTCGACCAGCTTCGGCGGCGTCCGGACGCCCCCGAGCACGCACCACTGCAGCACTTTCTCGCAGTCGAAAATGTCTTTTTGTCGGCCCTCCGCGGACGCCTTCTGTTACTAACTTAACTTTTTTGGATGCTTTAAAACATTTATATATCTATATTTTCGACAAAGACAAATTCTACGTTTTCCTGTAGACCCAAACCTCCAATTTCACGGTCTGCGACAAGCGGCCATGTTGATCATCAACAAGATCGCACACGTCGACTACTTGAGATGACGCAACGAGCAACGACCATATCACACCAACTATCTCGCCGACGGGTTCTTCGCTCGACGCGCAAATGTCTCGAGAGACCTCGTCCCACCATGCTCTTTCAACAAGCACAGTGAAAACGAAGCGTATGAATTGCAGTCTACTGGCTCTCAGTTGACGGTCGAGAGCGCGTCCAGAAGCGCTTGGCGCTGGTCCATGACCTCGGGGTCGCTCGAGCGTGTCGCTTCGTCGAGTGTCTCAAAGATGGCCTCGAATTTGTCGAATTGCACTTTGGCCCGCTCCAGCTCGTCGTTGTTGAAGAGCGTGAGAGCATAGTTGAGGTGAAACATATGGTCCCTACTCAAACATGCATACAACTTGTCTGACAATAGTTGCGTACGCTTCCATTTCGATCGCCTTGTCGTACGCGCTGCACGCATTCTCAAAGTCGTCGAGGCGCCCGAGCGTAATCGCGAGGTACATGTACGAGCTCGGAAAGTCCGGTTTGAGGTTGATGGCCGCGCTAAAGTAGTGGAACGCAGATGCGTACTGGCCCGTGTTGAGATGCACGAGCCCGAGGTTGTACGACGTGATCCACTCGAACGGGTCCAAGTACAGTGCGCGCTTCAGACTCGCGACCGCCTACGCCAACCCAGATCTTAGATTGAAATACACTAAGAAATCCATTGCACCGCGACAAAGCGCTGCTTCCCAAAGAAGCACATGCCAATGTTGTTCCAGAGCTGCGCCGAGTTAGGCGTCTATACGTCGTATTAGCAAGCCGCTCTTATATATTCATATATTGGTGGGGACCTGGACCGCCGCCACTCGGTACTTGACGAGCGCCACGTCCATGTCGCCATGGTCTTGAATGATCGAGCCCGCGGCTAGGATCGTCTATGCCAGTTAGACGTCAGAACTCAATTATGTTTATTGAAGGAAGGACTTTGGCGTTGCGCGGGTCGTGCGTCATCGAGTTGCCGAGGTAGTCGAACGCGCGAAAGTTCTCGCCAATGCGAAGGTAGAGCAGCCCAATCGTGGTGAGCAGCTCCGGGCTCTCGGGCGAGAACTCGAGCGCCTCCAAGTAGACGTTGATGGCGGCTTTGAAGTCGTCTCGGAGCGTATGGACCTTGCCAAGCTGAAGAAAGGTCGTGTCGTGGCGGTGGACGTTGTTGGCGTGCTGGAACGCCTCGATCGCATGGTCGAAGTCCTTGAGGTACATGTAGCAGAGCCCAATGTTGTGCGAGACTTCCCAGTCTTCCAAGCCCGGGAGCTTTTGCGTTTCTTCGTACACCTCGATCGCGGCCTTGTGCTTTCCGAGCAGATAGAGCGACCGGCCGACCTGCTTGAGGTTGTCCTTGTTCTCAGGGTTGAGGCACGTCGCTGCCTGGAAGAGCTGGAGGGATTCTTGAATGCGGCCACTGCGCTGCAAAATGAGCGCTACCGTTGGCCTTTCAGTCGCCATAAGAAAGAGCGCTCGCACCTTTGACGTAAATGGGGAATTCGCACAGGCCGTGGTGCTCCTTGAGCATTTCTTCGATGAGCCGAAGGCACTCGGTGTACTCTTGGCGCAGGTACAGCTTGTGGATGAGGTAGTTTTTGGCCGTCATCGGCGGCTCCATGCGCGGCGGACCGCGCGCGCTCAGCGGCGAGTTGGCATCGTCCACGTCGCCCATCGATCAAATGATTCAAAGTGAAACCCTAGGGCGTTGCAACCGCTGCGAATGGACGGACACGAAACCAATGATGAGCTTGTGTTATCATTCGCCTATTATTTGCTCAAGAGACCTTGGATTTGCTATTGCTTTAGCTAGTTCCTTTTAAAGATAACAACTCGAGTCAAGACCTTGCCACCGACGTGGCTCCACCACGCCAGGAATTGATGTAGATAAAACTCAGCTCAACAAGGCTTTGAACAGTGTCGCCATTGTGCATGAAGCAACCGCTACGACGCTGTGACGGCTGTAGCTGCATTGAGCGTTATCAAGCCAAGCTCGAAGCCAGCGTCGCAACGTCGTTGGAGCAGTTTTTGGCGGGTGCCAATTCCCGAGAGAGCCTTTTTTCTTGCGCCCGTTAATCCATCTACCTATCCATCTATCCATATATATCCATCCATCTATCCGAGAGGACAACGAGCGGGTCAAATCACCGCCAACGACATTTACATCGATTTATACTGGTCGTCGAAGAGAGAACTATTCGTTTTCAGTGCAGAACGCCGTTGAGGCCGATGAAGCTCATGCAGCAATAGTACTGCCGGCGGTCCTCCGGGATTTCATCTTCGTCTTCTTGCTCGTCGTCTTCGAACTGATACTGGTGCTTCCCATGCAGCGAGAACCGGACGTGCCAACAGGGGTCTTGCAGGAAGACGCATTGCGGCAGCTCAAAGCACTGCAGCTAAGACAATTCGATGGTCGTTGCTTCAGAAGACGAAGGAAATTCGCATGCGGGTACCTCCATGGCGTTCTTCGTGTCGTAGCGAGGCGACGTGTACACAGTGTCGCCCGACGCCGACAGAATCGAGAGCGACACCTGCCGCGGCCCGTACGTGGGCTGCCCGAGCTGCCACGACGCGCGGTACAGCACGATCTGCAGACCCTTTAGGATGCACGAGCCACGGACGATGTAGTCGATGAACTCGTCGCTGTTGGGGTCCCGGCTGGGCCCACTAGGCGTGAACAGGTTGTCTCTTTACATTTGCCAATTATTTGTCGTTCGTACCTGCTCCAATAGCACTGGCCCATCGAGCAGCCGCAGACCAGCCTACGCATCGAACGTCTTGAGCACGCAGGGCAGCATACGTTAATCCATCGTACTACCGTTGAATGGTGTAGTCGAAGAGCGTCCGGTCGTTGGCAAACTCGCGGACGCCCGGGTCCTTGTACTTGAGCATTTCGCGAAAGCAAAGCGAGGGCTGAAGCGTGTTGGTCGCGCTCTCTTCTTTTTCGCGGTCGACCGACGAGTACGCTAGTCCATGCAGGCATCGAATCTCGGCGCGTCGTATGACGCCCAGCGCCTACCGGCAACGTCGTGGAGGAGCGAGATGCTGTCGGTCTTGTTGCCGACCATCAAGTGGTTGGCGCACGCAAAGGCCTTCCAGTCGAGAATGTTGCAGGTCGTACGGGGCGAGTGCGGAAAGGCCACGACTTTCACGACCGACTGCCGCCAGTAGCCTAGTCCATGGGACGTGACGCCGAGGCCATGGACGCAGCATCTACCGCCATCGCGCGTGTGGTGCTGGAAGCACCGGCACGTGGCCTCGAGCGCATGGAGGTCGCCGTGGTCGAGGTACTCGGCGACGTAGCCCACAACCTCATTGGGCCATGCGTCCCCGAAGATGACCTTGGACTTCTTGGCATTCGTCATCTTCAACCTTGCGCTGAAGTTTCCCAACTCTTTCGAAATTGGTCCGTTCAAGTGCGGGTCTAAGAAAACACAACCTATCCAAGCCAGAGAAAATCTGCGTGCTCGTGCTGGGTCGTCGGCCGCGTTGCACTCGGGCAAGAGTATATAAGAGATATGATTTCTTATAAACCCTTGGCTCGGGTAACTCCAATCGATGGTCCATGTCCACATGCAGGAGTGTCTTCGACTTGCCGAGTCGAAACTGGACGAGATGACCCATTACTCGTCGTTTCCTGTGGCCTATCAACACGCAATTTCAAATTCAGCTAAATTCAGTCCCCATTTCAGTCGAAGCGCGCTCGTATAGACGGCAGTCGGTGCTGACTCCACGTAGTGGCCACGACCCGCCGAGACTGTTGTCCGAGGAGGGTTGCGTGAAAATAGCGTGAGAACGTGAGATGGGATCAAGCGCATTTAATGAGGATACATACAAATACCAAGTACAACGCGTTAAGTCCGATATTCGATTCTCATTGTAGCAAGGACGGGCAGAAGCAGGTTGGCCACCTCGACGGCAATGCGATCTTTGACCTTGGAGCCGCTCCTGCTCGTGTCGACCGAGAGCGTCGAGTTCTGCGGGTCGTCGTCCGTGGCGCTCTTCACGCTCACGTCCAACTGCGAGTACCCGGTGGCCTTCCAGGTCCTGCCATCGGACGACAGCCGGTATCGCGCGCAGCCCGACCAAGGCGTGTTGCAGCCAGCGACGTCCGTGGCCATCCACATTGACGCGCTCGTCAAGACGAGCGAGCTCGACACGACCGCCGACCTCCTCCGCGTCTTCTGCACATGGGTCGAGACGCCGTCGGACGCGGCCGCGCCGGCCTTCTGGACGAGCATTGCACCCGCCGAGATCCAGAGCCATTCGTTGGGCGTCGTCGTGTCCGAGCACAAGCCGTACGTTCCCATGAGCAGCAATAGCACCGTATCCAAGATGGTCTGCAAGTTGCCAGCGGTGGGCGACACGTGGATCAACGGCCTCTCGAACGAGTACGACGCTCGGTTCCCGCCCGACTTGGCGCCGTTCATGTCGGAAGAAGACTTTACCTCGGCCATGAAGCTCGTCAACGAAGCGCTCATCGACCATTGGCCATGTGTTCCGTGCATGTCGGTTGGGTATGGCTGCTGCATCTGCACGGGCGGGCTCTCGCTCTACTGCGCGTGGGGCCAGATCAAAGAGGCCGAGGACGCGGCCGTGCGCCAGCTCGGTCGACTCAATCGCCGCCCGTGCTTTGCGACCCGCAACATTTCGTGGAGCCTACGCCGCGTCTGGTACCGCCACGCGAGCTGGGTCGAGATTACGATGCAAGCTTCGTAGCCATTTCGACGACTAGATGTTTTACATGTTGAGAAAATACCTATCCACTACTCTAGTAACGACTACACTTCAGTCCTCTGGTCGGTTCTTCTGAAGCGACTGCATTCGGTCCGGGTGGCTCCAGCTGTACGTATGAACAATTGTGTGCGGCAGGCGGCAAAACTCGTCAAAGCTGAGCTGCCGCAGCATGCTCGGCGAGAGGTGGCTCGGGATGTCCGGCACGCACGCGTACGACTCGAGGAGGTCCTTGAACTTTGGAGACGACTTAAATTCGGTGAACGTCGGGCCGCCCATGAGCCCAAGCATCTCGGTGCGAACTGCCCGGAAGAGACCTTTGTCGAGCTCGGGGTGCTCCACGGACGCGGCAACGGACGCCACTGCCTCGGCCGAGATGGGCACCTAGCGTCACAATCACGTCTCTACCCGCAACTTCACGCGAGCGCGTACCCGCTTGGGCGCCCCGAGGCTTAAATAGTCGTTGACGATGGTCCGCGCGCTTTTCCGGAGCTCGTCAAAGTCCATGGACGCAAAACCCGCGACGAATTCTTCAATTTCTTCCAAGAGGCCGAGTCCGTTCATCATGGTCCTACTATTCGGTTCATACTACGATGGCTTTTGCGGCTGCGAGGCGGGGTGCGTACCGCGTTGCTTCGCCAAAGTTGGTCGGTCTCGACTCGATAAAGACGAGCCATAATTCGTGCGCCTCGTAGTGGTCGATAACGTCTTCGATGCGCGCAAGTTCCTGGAGATTTCGGAGCAAAAACTCGGAAAAGACTTCGCGCAGCGTAGAAAAGAGGCTATGGAACGCGACGGGTGTCATGACGAGCAGGATCGTGTCTTCGGCCGCGGTCGCCGTGATGAGGCTCTTGCAGTGGAGCATGACGGAGATTTCACCGCAGTAGCCGCCGGGCGGCAGCGTCACGTACGACTTGCCGGTCGGAAACGGGTACTCGACCTCGACAAGACCGTTCAAGACGATATAAAACACTGGAAAATTGTCAAAATGCCGAAAATTCAGGTGACCAGAAACGTACTCGGTTCGTCGTCTTCGTGGATGAACGTCGTGCCTTTGGTAACTTCGGTGAGCGACCCGGCTTGGGCCATGCGGCACTGATCTTCGCCCTTCATCGCAGCGACAAAGTTGTGCACGTGGTGCTTGGTTGTGATTTGCAGCAAGCGCGCAATGATGACTAGTAATGACAACTTGTCGATAGCATGTGAGATTCGGCAACCGCACCTTCTTCGAGGGCCGACTTGACGTCGGGGCAGACCTTGATAAAGTTGCGGAACGCCGGGGCTTCAATGTACACCAAGAGCGAGTTTTCCACGGCTTTGACCGTCGCACTGCGCTTGACGTTGAGCAAGAGCGAGATCTCGCCAAAGTAGCTGCCGTTTGCGAGCCGTCGGATGAGCACTTCGCTCATCGCGAGCGACGGCCGGTGGCGCTCGAGGCGGCGCTGCGAGATAGACTTTGTCGAGACGTGCAGCGTTGGTTTGGCTGCTTGGTTGGTGACCGTCACCTGCAAAAGGCCTTCGATGCAGATGTAGAAGCGGTCGCCGAGGTCGTTCTCGCGGCATACGACGTCATCTTTCTGCACGACGAGAAACGAGCAGAGGCCTGCGAGACCGAGGAGCCGCGTGCTCGTCACGTCTGCAAAGAAGGGGACGCCGGCTACTGGCATGTGGATCCAAGCGTCTACAGTGAGTGGCGGTACCGAGATAGTCGACAACTTGTTCGTCAGCAATGGACGAAATGAGCTGCCAGTCGTCGGCGGCCGACTTGGTCGCGCGGTTGATCGTCAAATGGTACGTGCCCTACGCAATAGGACTCTAGAACGAGCATGGCGTCGGAGTGGCGGCGTACGTCCCGAATGTGTTTGGATCGAATTTTGAGAAAACGCTCTCTGTTGAGGCGCAAGACGACGCAGCCTTCCTTCTTGTCCGCTGTCACCTGCGAAGTAGTATAGCTTACTCTACGCGCCAGTGGAGGAATCGACGTACGGTGACGAGGTCGAGCATCGCGGTGACGTTCTTGCCACCGGCGTAACTGGCGGCGCTCGACGACTTGCGCTGCATGATGGCCGTGGCTTTTGTGACGCTGGTCAAAATGTCGCCGACGCGCTTCTTGCAGAGGACTTCAGTGACCTTGACCTTCTTGTGCGCGGTCTGGGGCACGATCGTGCTCACGTCCGCAGTGCCTTTGGCGACGATGACGAGCTCATGCTTCTGAAACACGATGGGCGCACCCGGCTCAAACTTGACGGTGCCAAAGCAAAGGGCAATGTCGTGGAGCACTTCCTTGTTGAGGAACATGGCAAACGGCGTGTTCTCGAGCACATGCAGCCGCTGGTGCGTCGGGACGTACGCGCTCACGTGGTTGCCCATGCCCACGGCAAGTGAGCGACTATGAATAGCGACGTGCAGTCGTAATATTAGCCTCGGCAGTCAATAAATAGTCTGCAGCATCGTCGTAACCAACGCCTTTCTGGGTGCCTCGAGAGAAACCAGTCTTTGCCCCCACCCCCAATGTGCCAGGAAGACGTCTGCACTGCTTGCCATCATTACCTTATCAGCCCGTGTCGAGGCCACGGATAGAGAAGAATCTTTGGTATTGGTACTTTGGGACTCCAAGTACCAATCTCCAACCCCGTGCTCCAAGTTGGAATACAGGGGAGAAGAGCTATTACTTGCAACAGAGCTGCTGGCAAGGAAATCAAGGCTGGCTAAGGACACAGTATTTACTTTCATGTGAACTGCATATACTCGTAGATGTTTGCGTGCTGCAAGCCGAGAGCTAAGCTTGCCGTGTTCGGGCCCCGATCACTGCCCCGAACACGACAGCCCTCGGAAAAGCCTATTTTCAAGGCTATGTTTCGGTTTGTGGACTTCATGTGTCCTGGTTTAAAAAATTATTTTCCAAGATAGTGCGTATACTATTTAAATCACTATATATAGTATGTTCCATTGTATTTTATAGTGTGCAGACTCAAAATTACGCTACTCATGTCAAATTTACCGTACATATACGCCAATTTATGCGGAAACACCTGATATTATGCGGATTTCTGTGCGCCATGCAGAAATAGCGCCATCTCATTTGCCTATCAACGAGGTGAGATGAAATCTACGCAAGGACACGTGCAACGTTTTACGTAGCAATGTAAGATTTACGGTAAAATGAAGCAAGACCGTACTTATACAGGATCATTTTCTACAGTACAGTTCTGTTCTACTTTGTTTTCAAAGTTGACATCACAAATGACTTTGATGATCGTATGTGACCACGTCCGTTGACTCGGGATGTCGGCCAGAAGCTCGAATTGAGTTTTGAGTTGCTGGCTCTTGATGAACGTCCACCGTTGCTATTCCAAGACGGTGTGAGCGGACGCTGGTGTTATGAGAAGTCGTTTGTCCCATTTCTATCTTTCTCTCTAATTTCTTACCAACTTTTTGCCAATTTCCCGCTCCAACATTGATTTGCCAACAACTCGATTTCCTACACGCTGAGTCCGAGTGCGCTATCCACATGTATAAGCATTTCTTCTCGCGCTAAGGCATGGCACACTACGGCCGTGTTCGGTAAAAAAAGTGGATCGGCATCCGGGATGTCGATTCGCGGAATCTTCATCCAGCCGGATGTGGATCCGGCTGGCACATCCGATCAACCACCGGAATGCTCGCCGAACACGATTGGATCGAAGGTCGAATGGCCTGAATTGGCCGTCAATTTTAATCGGGCCAATAAAAAAGTTCACAGCTCTTTTTTGGCGGGAACATGGTGGCCCCGGCGAGCTGGACGCGCGAGCTCGAGGCTCTCGTTCCGCAATGTCGCCAAGAGCCCACAGTATGTCGTGTCGGCTGGCAAGAACCTGAAGGCGACTGGCTGGGCGCTCGTCGCCAAAGACATGGCGCCGAGGGACGCCTCAATCACGAACGGATAACGTGGATGAGATGAGGCAAGCACAAGGATGGCATACCGGTTGCGGTAACGCTCGCTCATGGGCACCGGCACCACAACAGGGATGTGGGTGCCATCAATAGCCCCAATGCACGCGCCGAGCGACGGGTCCTTGGTGGCAAATGCAGCGCAGGAAGCTGCGAGCCGCCTCGGGTCGTTGATATCTTCTCCGTAGAACCCGTTGGCTGTGAGGCCGCGCAGGATAGCGACGAGTCCGATGGTATGGTAATGGTAGGAGGGTCGAGAACCCTTTGTCGAGGAAGAACTGCTCCTGAGCACGCACCGAGGCCCCAGTCGCCAGCCAATGCACAACGACGCATACCACATCGCGTGGGTTGATACGCCCCGGTAGATAGGGTTTCGCCATCGCAACTAACACGTGGAGGCTCGCATCGTCCATGCGGAAAATGTCGTAGATGACACGATCGCCGCGATCGTGGAGGAGGTCGCGTTGCATGTCTAGGTAGTCCAAGTACGACGTCTCGGGGCGCATGAACCGGAGCTGCGGCTTACGGTCGGGCGGGTCATCGTCGATAAGCTCGTCCTTGATGGCTAATGCGGCCGCCGCTACGGCCATGGCGCACGCAAGGAGAACTATGTCGTCGTCGTCGGCCATCCGTTCAAATGCGCGCGCAATTTTGAGCGCTTGTAATTTTAATCGTACTTTTAATAAAATTGCCCGATTCACTTTGCGATGGCCGAAATCCACCGCGGGACATGGATTCCGAGATTCAAGATCCTGGCCATCCCGATCCGCCTTTTTTTTTCACCGAACACGAAAAAATCGATATCGTCCGATCCACGGTTGCCTCGATCCACCTGAATCTACCAAAAAAAGAAAACCGAACACGGCCTACAGGTGCATCGATGGGACCTGTGATATGGAGCCAACGAACAGTGATTTCTGCGGTCTAGAGCAAGCTTGTTTGTCTCGAAACCGACTAATAGTTGGCAAAAGCGGGGGTGTGCATTCAAATATTGCGAAAGCTTGTGGATAAAGCATACACAGTCTAGATTATCGAGCCAATTGACAACGTAAACACAAGTCTACGCCTTGGACGCGCGGTACGCGGCCTCCTTGCCCGCCGCGCGGTACTTGGCTTTCTTCTCGGCCTTGTGGACGTCGGCAAACTTGGCTTCTTCGCGGGCCTTGCGCTTGAGGTTCTCTTTGGACCGCTCCTTTTGCTTGGCGACCCGGATCGTGTTCTTTTCGCGGCGGAGCGTGTTGACTTGCTGAATGAGCGCATACTTCTTGCGCTCTTCGGGCTCGAGGACGACCGCGCGCTTCGTGACGTACGTCTCGGCCTTCTTGCCCTTCTTCTTGTCGAGCTTGGGCTTGCTCGCAAACGGCAGCTGCGCCTGGAGCTTGGCCGGCACGCGGAGCGGGTTGAAGATCTTGGTCTTGCGCTCAATCGGCTTGTAGACCGAGTCGGGGTTGACTGGAATCGGGAGCTGGTTCTGCTGCCGCAACTCGCGCATGGTCTTCATGCGGCGCCACTTGGGGTCGAGGAGCGACGTGACCGGGTTGTACAGCAGCTTGGGCTCCACCGGTACCCACGTGCGGCAAAACACAATGTCCGACTTGAGAATTTTGTCTTCGAAGGTCGCACGGAAGTCGCCCTTGCCGCCGCGCGTCGCCTTCTTGACTTGGCCACGAATGCCACTCACCGTACGGAGACTCGCGCCCTCAAACTTGGCGACTTCGAGCTCCGTGTTGAACATGCCCTTGAGGAACGCCGTGTTCTTGTGCACCTTGGTCGGGTGGCCAATGAGCTTGAGCTTCTTCATCACCGAAAATGTGTGGTCGAGCTCGAGGACGACGCCGGTCGCACTCACGCGGAAGCCGTCGACCTTGTTGGACATGTTCTGGAAGGCGAGGACGCCCGTGTTGGGCGGGCAGATAGGCGCGTAGATGGTCGCCGAGCAGTGCATGTGCTCGGGCGTGTACTTGAGGTACCGATGGCGCTCGTTCTGGTCCTCGATCGAGAAGAGGGGCAGCGACTGGAACCGCCGCCAGCCGATCGAAAACACGAGCGGGTCGTTGGCCTTGAGCACCTTGCGGTGCCAGCGGTGCTTCTTGATGCGGAGCCGCATGAGGCCGAGCGCGTGTTCGTGCGGGAGGAGGCCGCCGACCACGATTGGCGTCGTGGGATTCGCGCACGTCACAAACTCGCTCGGGACACCGTGAATCTCGATGCGCACGTAGAGGCCGTTGCGGAAGCCTTCGAGCTGGAGACGCGTGTCTTCGCCTTCCTTGCCAAACTCTTCGGCGTTGCGCAGCGCTTGGGTTTCCTTGAGACGCTTGGCCTCGGCCATGATCTCGGTGATCTCCTCGTCCTCCTCTTCCTTGTCCTTGTCGTCGTCCGAGTCCAAGTTGGCACGCTTCCGCGCCTTCTCTTCGCCAATGCGCTTGCGCATCTCTTCGGGCGACTCGTCTTCCGGGGCTTCGTCGTCGCTGCCAGCGTCCTCGTCGTCGTTGTCGTCGTCGTCCTTGCCACGGTGGACTTCCCCCGTCTCCAGGTCCTCGAACGACCCATCAACGTCATCGTCGCCCATGTCGACGTCGTTGTCGTCACCGGCTGTCGGCTTCTTCCACGAGCCCGTGACAAACTTGTTGCGGAGGCTCTCGAGAAGGTCGGGCATGTCCCACGCCTGGAGCTCGGCAGGCACATACTTGCTCGAGTCGAGGCTGTTGATGTCGTCGCCATCGTCCGATGTCGACGACGTCTTCTTGTCCTTCTTCTTGTTGGCGGCGTTTTTGGGCCGGAAGAAATCGTCGTCGTCGTCGTCGTCGTTCTCGCTGTCGTTGGCGCGGGCCGCGTCCGCGTCCGCAATATGGAGCTTCTCCGTCGCGCCGTACACGAGCTCCATGAGGTTGATATCGCTCTGCTCGCGCTCGAGAAAATTCATCGCCGCGCGCTCGACGAGCTTGTCCTTCCAGCGCATCTGCGACGCTTCCGCCGAGGCCGGCGCCGCTTCCTCGTTCTCCTCGTCATCTTCCTCGTCACCTTCGTCATCTTCAGAGTCGTTGTCATCCGAGGACGAGCCGTCACGCATGGCTTCGTCGTCGTTGTCCGAGCCAGCGTCGTTCATGTCGAAAACAGCGCGGCGACGCACGCGCCCGGAAGCGTCCGTCTCGATGCTCTCCTTCGGGTTGGACTTGCGCGCCTTGGACGTGTCCTGATCATCTTCGTCGTCCTCGTCGTCCTCGTCGTCGTCATCGTCACTGTCATTGGCAGCGTCATCTTCTGCGTCCTGGTCGTCATCCTCGTCATCGCTGTCGAGCTCGTCCGCCCGGATCGCAGCCGTGTTCTTGAAGAGCGACATGGTCGCACCCTTGAGACGCTCGTCGATGCCGAGACCCGACTCGATTTGCTGGAGGCTCTGGACCATGTCGGTGCCTTCGCCGCCTTTGCCTTGGGCGGTCTCATCGCCGTCATCCTCAATGTCGTCCTTCTTGGAGTAGTTGACAGTCCCGAGGTTGATGTACACGGCGTCCTTGTCAAACATAATGTTGCCGACGCTACTCCCATACATATGAGTGCACGTCCACTCGATATGGAGAGAAATCGTACTCGGACATGGGCGCGTAGAGCATAATGTCCTTCTGCGAGAGGTGCTTCTTGACCTTGTCGCTGCTCTTGGACGGCAACGGGCATGGGTCCGGAAGCGACGTGACCGACTCCATGTAAAAGTCGCCAGCGCCGGCGACGTGGACCTTCATGCCGGGCTTGAGGTGCGTGCCGCGGAGGTACCCGTACAGCGTGACCTTGCGGTCGCACACGGGGTTTTGCTGGATCGCGTCGGGGTGCGTCACGTCTTCGAAGCGATCGACGAGCAGGTACGGGTGCGAGTTGCGCCACGTGAGCGGGCGGAACTTGATGCGCGCGATGTACAGCATCATGTTGTTGATCTCGCCCTTCGGGTACTAGGACAGAGATGAGCCAAGCAGCCTTCGAAGAGGAGAGCGAACCTTGTTGGAGACGATGCCGGAGAAGTAAAAGAGCTTGGCGCCCTGGTAAATCTCGGTCCAGAAGCGGCTTTTGAGACGCTTCTTGGTCTGGCGCAGACTCTTGTTGTTCTTGAACTTGTCGAGGTGCGTGAGAATGCCCATGACCTTGGGAAAGCCCGAGACCTACGCGATTCCTCAGCACACAGAGGAGGAAGGGTGGTGGTACCTGGAGGATGTTGAGGAACTCGAACGTCTCCATCTCGAAACCAAAGCTGGCGTCGACCATGAGCAAGACGAGGTCGGCAATCTTGGCGAGATCCTACTCGCCGTCATGAGCACGTCGTTGAGAAGAAGGAAGGAACGTACGATCATGGCGTTGAGGTCGTTGGGGCACTCGAAGAACGTGATGCGGCGGTCCTTGCCGCTAATGACCGTGACCGGGCCCTTGATCTCGCCAATGTTGTGGCGCGTGTAGCGCTTGACGAGCGACCGGATGAGCGTCGACTTGCCCGAGCCGGGCGGGCCCATGACGACGACCGAGACAGGCGGCGGCGTGTCCTCCATGCGGTCGACCTGCGGCACGTACTCCTTTTGGTGGGCCTTGTCGAGGTTGCGCTGCGTCATGCGCTTGGCCTTGCCAATCTTGGAGACGCCAAAGGCCTTGGGGTTGTTCTTGGCATTCTTGGCCTGCTCGTTCTTCTGCGCGTCGTTGCGCTTCTTCTTGTTGACCTTGGCGCCGCTCGTGGACTTGCGGTGCTGCTTGGTGCGCTTGCCCAGGAGGTCCTTGTCCATGGTCAACTTGGAGCGAAGGCAAATATGCTGCCAGGATCACCAACCACCAGGAATCGCGCGCTGTGATTGGTCATCTCGAAACGACGGCAATTGGTGCAAAACCTTTCGCATTTCAGCCAATCAACAGTGAAACACCGCGCCAGAAGACTGGCGCCGAGACGTCGCAATTGGCCTAACGATCTTAAACGGATGCAGATATACCGTAGGCACACATCGTGGTCGCCGGCTTCGCCGACGACGTTGTTTGCACCTCGCGATTGCATCATCCAACGCAGAAGAAGCCAAAGAACAGTTTGTCCGACCGCAGCACAATTGAACTTGAACGTAAAACCAATTATAAATTATACTGACTGTCAAGGGTTGACGGTGGCGCGAGAACTTAATCTTAATCAAAGACTGTGTTTGATTAAGATCAAGTTCTGAATACATGCATACAGATGAGTGCTGCTCAAGGCCTGCGACTGCAGCTTTCTTCTGCCCCAAGTCACATTGATCGACGCTGCCATCCACTTGCACAACTATATTCTCTTGACGTGATCAACTAAGATGCAAGGAAGCCTTGAAGGGGCGCCCGTGGGCTTCGCTGGACCGGCTTCGGTGTTCGTCAAGCCTAAGGTTTCAGTCCTCGTCTCTCCTAGGTGTCATGTCCCGCGTTGGTTACACATTGAGGGTTCTATAAAAATACGGTACTTTGATACAAATGCCAAACTTTCAAAAACATTTGTATTTTAATATGTGTTTGGAAGATCTGTCGCACCCCGATTATTGCACGACCGGGTCTGCATCAACACACACTGTTTTTCACACGATGTCGATACAAACAGCAAGCTTCAAGGAGCGGTTGGGCGTGCAAAACACCGTGGGAAATGAAAACCACATGGCAAAAAATCTTGCGTATTCACGATGGCGGCCTTTGCGTAATCGCCATTTTCGTTTTTGCCGACTCGACCCAAGATGGTGTACCTCTCCAAGCGCCTCGGCCTCGAGCTGCGCACGTGGCCGGAGCTCAAGGAGCACCTGCTCTTTGAGCTCAAGCTCGCGCTCTGCGACTGGAAGGTGCTGCTCTACGGCGTGCTTTGGCAATGTATGTATATCATATCCCAATCGCCATCGTGGACAGTGCGACTGATGCTACTATGACTAGACCTGCACAGTATTTTGCACAACTTGGCGTACTGGATCCAGTCGCGCTTGACGCCCGAACAGCGCACGCCGCTGTACGACGTCGGTTTCAACCTCTTGCCCGAATTCACGTACGACGACGATCGGTGACGCAGGGCAACTCACAATAGAGTGCGTCTAGCGAGTCGCAGGCCAAGATTTCCGAAATTCTCGTGTTTGGCTGCATCTTTGGCCCGTCGATTGTGCTCATTGCGTCGATCCCGTTCATCAAGCCCAAAGAGAATGGCAACGTCCGCTACGTCGCCGTCATCGTTAAGCGCTTCCTCTTCCACACGGCCATGTGCCTCGTACGTCATTTGAAATGACTCGGCGCATATCAACGAACCAATGGTGTCCGTAGCTCTTTCGCTGCTGCTCGTTCTTGGTGACGGCGCTTCCGGGCGCTGCGCCGCACTGCCGCCCGCTCTTCAACCAGACGTGCTTGGATGCGAACCCGATCAACCCGCTCTCGTGCGAAGTACCCAACCCGGATTTCCAGCCGCCGACGACCACGTCCTACTACTTTTTCCACATTGACGTCCTCAACGGTCCATTGCCCTTTGCTCGCGTCATTTCCTGACATTTCGATTCTAGGCTGCGGCGACCTCATGTTTAGCTCGCACACGATGTACACCATGTCGTTCATTCTGACGCTCTTCAAGTACTGGAAGAGCACGGCGCTGCTGGCCTTTATGCTCTGCATTCAAATCGCAATCGCCTTTTGCATCGTCGCCGCCCGCAAGCACTATACGCTGGATGTCATCTCCGCGCTGTACGTTGTGCCCATGGTGTGGTTCCTCCAAGACGCGTACTTTGCCGACATCAACCACAAGGACCAAGGCGTCACGCCTCGGAACATCCAGAAATTCTACAACATGCCCATGCCCGCGGAGGACGCGGCGCGCATGAACGCCAACGCGCTCGAAGACGGCACGGACGAGCGGCTCTCGAGCCTCTCGCCCTCCGAGGCCCTCACGGCGCAGTACAACACCACGTCCGACGACCCGAGCAAGGTGTCGCCCGTCGTCTGAGTAGTAGACACCAATCTAATCTGAATGAGACCGCCTCATATTTAGCCTTGTCAGTGTGGTTTGTGCAGTTGCATTTGTTGGGATTGTCAGGGCAAAATTCTGTATCCAAGAAATCCTTTGAATACAGTGTTTGGCGCAGTTACAGGATGCCAGTTACATGTAAGCGATGCGCGTCCATGTCTGGCCGTCGCGTCTGGACGGCCCTGCCTTTCCTCTTGCTCGACCACAGACATGCCGACGGCGCGTCGTCACGGAGGCGGGTGGCGTCCTCAGTGTTATCGTGTCCATCGGCTTGATCTGCTTTGCGCTCGACATCTTTGCTTCGTACCTTGCAACCGATTTTTTTGTCCCCGACTTTGACGCGATGGCCCACGTACTCGTCACTACGCTGAACCACGAGCTCGCACTCGATGGCACCGGCGCCTTGGATCTGGTGGCGCCACAAGCGGCCTACATTGCGGCGCTGCCCAGTGCGCCGAGCTCTGCATATGCGCGGCTCCTCATGTACGACGATCTCACAACCGTGCAGAGCGCCGTCCGCGGTCTCCGGCAGCTTGCGGCGTCTCGCGTCGTCAGAATGGTGTCGCCATACTGCTGGGTTGACTTGCAAAAGCGTTGGGAGCTGGCCTATACCGTACGTCGGCAAGCGCGCTGTGCGAGGTTCGATGCCGCCAACGGCGCCGTGCACCTCGAGACCATTTTGCGCAACATCAAGTGGAAGTCGTTCCTGGCGTCAACCCAAGGCCGGTTTCTCTCGACGATCGGGACGCCGATCGCAGAGTCGAGCGAGGACGGCGCAAAATGGCTTGCAGCCCTTCAGATACACACATGGGTGGCCGAAAGCGATGAAGCCGCGCTCTGGCAGCGACATGGCATCGATCGCTTTGCGCTGCAGTACGGGACCGGCTACGATATCGGTGTCTCGGAAACGATCGAGATGGCGAATGCGCTCGGGCAGCGCCTCTTATTGCCGCTCAAGGCCAAGCCGATGTTAAATCGCTGGGCATTTCGGACCACCAACGTCCTGTACAACCTTCTCTACAACGACTTGTACGCCATTGGGACCAACCAAAGCCTTGTGCGGGGCACACACCGCTACTTTGGCGATGTTGATCCGAACCAGATAGAGACCTATTGCCAAGGATACCCACTGCGTCTGCTGCAGCAAGTTTTACATGATGGTATCGGGCCTCTCGGCAACATTGACATCAAGTGGGTACCGGCACCGCGCAGCTTGATTCGCTCCGTGAGCCTCTTTCACGCCGACCTCACCGAGCGCCTACTAACGACGCCAAGCGCGTCCGGAAAGCTCGGTCGCCACACGTTGCACCCGCGCCCTTTGCGCTGGAAGGACGCGAATTTTCGCTTTCTTACGGGCAACCCGATGTGCACCTTTGGGGGGCCTATGCCTTTCGTGCAGCAAACGTTTGGCTTTGACGATGTCTGCGGCGCTCAAGCCCCCTTGACGCTCGAGTGGCACGTCTACAATGCACTCTTCGCGCTCGCTTTGTACGGGGCACACCCAAGCACGACCTGCGCACCCTTCGTCGACGGTGATGCATGCCTACGACTCGTTGCCGACGCCATGTCCCTGCAAAGTACGCTACCTCTTTTGACGCCACCCACGTCCTGGACCGATGACGTGGCAGCGTACAACGTCGGACTGTTTCAAATGCTGATGCGCAATACGACAGCAGCCATCGAGCTGGACCTGCAACCACTGCTATCGCCCGACTTTGCATTCCTCGGCGCCATGTACCTCTACGACTGGGCGCGGAATCAGCGCGAAGTGGTTCAGATCCAAGGTGACGTGGCGTCCTTCACACTCATGTCGTCTCTGTACCTTCCACTACCAAGTACAAAGGACGACGCGTCTGCACCCAGGAGTTTGGGACCATATCTCTCCTTCCTGGCAATAGTCACGTCAGGCACTCTCGTTATTACGGGGGGACTCTTGCTCTGCGTTGGCTGGCGCACGCGAAGCGCTATATCCCACGACTGGTGGAGCTTTGTGCCGCTCACGGCTTCCGTTTGGGTGAGCCGCAACCTCCTCGTCCTTCGCAGCGTCGCGGCCATTCTATGCTTGGCCGCGGTACCGCTCGGCACTTCAACGACGACGAGTGGGTTCATTCGGCTAGTCGAAGGGCCGCGCTCCATCTTGGTGTCCAGCGTTCTCGCCCTCGAGAGCCTTTGGCTCATGCTCGTCGCCCACAATGTGCTACTGCCGCTTCAGCGCACAAGCATTCGCACGTCGCCGTTGCACGCTTTCTCATGCTGGTGCGCAATTCTTGCGCTGGATCAGTTGGCGCCACTGACGCTGTCTGCGTCACTCGATCGGCAGTGCTACACAGTTAACATGGACTCGATGGTGTACTGCACCAGCGGTGTAGTGCACGTCGGTAGCTTTTCGCGCGTACTCGTCATCCTGAGCATCGCCGCCTTTTTCATTTGCGCATCGTTCGTTACAGCATTTTGCCGCCGAGTATCAAGCACCGAGACGCCTCGCCCAAACGCGATCTTGCCATTGCTCTCTCCTTGGCGCGTGACGCCCGCCGGGCATGCAGTGAGTGCGACGGCCGCGGTCATGTGTGGCCTCTTGCCGCTGCGCTGGCGCGGCCGTACCTACCTTTTTGACATCAAGCTCTGGCTATTGCTGTGTGCCGACGACCGTGTCTTTGACGATGGCGCAGATGGCGCTATTGTACTTCCTTTCAGCGCGCCGCCGAGAACGGTGAGACAAACAAGTGGGAATTTGACGTTGCAGCGCTCGTCCTGGGAACGACTGCTTCGCGTCTCGGGCGTGGTGTACATTGGCCTCACGCTCTGGAGCAACACGGCGTACTTGGGCGTGTTGCAAAAGTCGCTCGCAAACGATTTTGGCTGGGCTGGCTTCATCGCCACGGGTATGCACGCGTTCCTTGCCAACACGTTCAACGCCCAGCTGCTCACTTCGGTCGACGCACCGATTTTGCTGCATGATGCATCGTTCGCGGACCCGCTGCAGCCATACAATAGCTCGAGCAGCATCGTGGCAGGGTACCCGACGATGGCGCGGCGGTACCTCTTGAGCACAGCTCCGCCACTCGAGGATCTGGTTGCGGGGCTTCGCGCTATGGACCCGTGTCAATTACCGTGGATGTTCACGCAGTACTGCTGGCTCGATGTGAACCAACGCTATGAGATGGCGAGCACGCACTCCCGCCAAGCACGCTGTAGGGGGCATGCGGCTAACGGCGCTCTGTACCTCGAGACAAGCTTGCGAAATGTGCGCGACTGGGCTCGATGGCGCTATTGCTGGGGCGACTCGTTTGATATTGGGTTTGGTCGCTACTTGGAATCGTCCGAAGGAGGTCGCTTTTGGCTGGACGAGATAGCTCGGCCACAGGTGCTCTCGGTCTCTGAGGAAGTTGACTACTGGCGCGCACACGGTATCACGCAGTTTGTGCTGCAGTGGCAGAATTTTAAGGACACGGGCCTCGACGACGCCATGGTCGTCTCGTCGGCGCTTGGCTTGTCGTACACACTCCCCATCAGCCAGCGCGCCGGTGTCATGCACTTGGATCGCCAGACGTCGCATCGTTTTTACTGGGCCTTTGCAAGCGACCTTTGGGCTATCAACACCAATACTACACGCATTGGTGGCCGTTCGCTTCTCCGGCAAAGTCCCGAGTTTGCCTTTGCCAATGCGACACGCGCCAGTTTGCTCTTTGAAAACCTAACCCTCTCGTCGCCACTTCTTCTCGGTCTGCACCTCGTAAACGCCTCGATAGGTCCTTTTGGGGCCGTCGACATGATCTACATTAGCTGCCCGAGGTCCCTCCTAGACTTCTACGACGCAGTGCGGCAGTCCATTGCAACCGAGACGACAAAGAACCTTTCCGCCCAACGGCAGCTTTTAGCGCTACCTGCAAAACCCTACATCGGCCACGTGCCCATAACTCTTCTGACCGACCCGGATGTCGGTATCGTCGGCGGGGATCTCACCTGCGGGAATGACATTCAAGTGTCGCCGCCGTCCGGGGCGCTCTACGCGCTCTTTGGCGCCGACTCGCTCTGTTCGTGGTGGCATTTAGAGTACTTCACGCCGTCGACGCTTGGCCTTCTCTTTGCGCTTTCGGGTTTTGACGCGGTGCATACCATGCAACCAGATACGGACTTGGCGGCGTTCTGCGCACGCGATGTGTACGCCGAAGCGGCGTGCGTTGCCATCTACAACGCTTCGTTTACGTTGGCGAACAGCACGCTGTGTCGGTTGACGGCGTCGCTGCGGTCTTTGGCGACGGCCGCCGAGTCGGAGGCGCGCGCGCTTGATATCCAAACAGTTCAGTTCCTTGTCAAGCCATACAACAGTTCCAACGTCCAGCTCTACAAAATCAATATTTTGGACGCAAGCGACCGGTCTTGGCTCTTTTTCGGGTGGAACTACTTGGCCGAGTGGGTTCTTGGGCTCCGCGAGGTTGTCTCCTTCCAGGGCGATGCTGGTGCGATCACCGCCATCTCCAAGCAGTCAAAGCCCATGACGCTCGCAATCGATGACGCGGCCATCCCAACCCGTCTCTCGTTTGTCTGCCAGCAGTGCGTACGCTACGTCACCGGTACCATCATGCTCGGTGCGGCCATCGCCGCCCTTTACGCTCTTTTTGTTTGCCGTGGCGCGTACGAAGGCGCGAATCTCTTTGCGTTGAATCGACTCGTTGGGCATGCGTGGGTCGGCCGCGTCTTGCTCATTGTCCGCGGCGTGACTGCGCTATGGCTTCTCAACACGCAGCCGCTCGAGCTCACGGCTGTCGGCGCAGGCGCTCGCTTTGTAGCTCCACCGCTCGCCGTCGTTCCGACGCTCCTCGGCGCGTCCGAGCTTTCGTGGCTTGTGTACATAATGAACGACGTCCTTAGCTGCGTCACGCGCCAGTACACGCCCTTTTATGCGTGGAAGAGCTCGGTCGCAGCAAGCGCTGTTGCGGCCGCGTGGACGCTGGCGGTGCCGCAAGACTACACGGCCTTTGTGCGTCGCCGCTGCACCTACGTTGATATGGACCTGGCGCTCACTTGCACAAGCGGACACGTTGAGATTGGCCGCGTGAGCCGCGTCTCGATTGACGTGGCACTCTGTGTGAGCTGCGTCGTGGGAGCCGCCGTCGTCGAGCGGCTTCTGCGCCCGACGCTGCCACCGTCGCGCATCACGTCGCTGTTTCTGAACGCGACGAGTCTGTACTCGTCGAATCTGAGCAACTGGGCGATTGGCGACGAGCAGTACACGGACAGGATGTCGGCTGCGATGGGCGGCTTGTTCACGTGGCGCTACCGCGGAGACTTGCACCTCTTTGACATCAAGAGCTGGCGGCACTTTGTCGTTGCGCCCGAGACGACAACATGCCCGTTTCCGACGTCGGCGGTGCTCCCACTGCACCGCATTCGGTAAGGATGAGTGTATTCCTTGTCTGATCGAACCGACTGGTACCGCAAGCTCAAAAACATGTGAACCTTGCCAGTGGCTACCATCGTAGCGAAACGAACACGATGCATGACCTTGTTGCACTGATGCGTGCGTGGGTTATCACAATGCTCTCGATGTGAGATTTTGGGGTTTTGATGTGCAGTGTCACGTTAAGCTACTTGACGGTCGTTGACGCCACTATTGTTGATCGCACGTCTCTATTTAAGCTTGACTTGGCCTAGCGCTAGTACGAGTAGTGTACATGCTCGGGTACTGCTTGGTACGCACCTGTTTCCCACCCCTTACCAAGCTCTCGTGTCATGTCGGCATCGAAAACTCTGTCGTTAATATTGTTGGAGCAAGAGAAAAGGGCAAGGAATTCCAAGGACGGCTCCATGGAAGAGGAAGTTGGAAGGGATGCTCGTTCGCTACCATTGGTACGCCAGATTGCTAGATGGATCACTGAGCGTTCTTGGATTCAAAAGCTGATTTTGCTTGCGTCCAAAGAAACGCACGAACAAAGATGGAACGATGCCCGCAATGAACCAGAAACGAGAAGCGAATCCTGGATGCACCTCGTGGAAGTGGTCTATCCGGATAAGCGTCTACATGGCCGGTTACATGCAATATCCGTAGGGAATTACCTTGTCCAGTCAGCCGGCCAGTCGCAATAACAAAGACAAGGTTCTCGTCTGTCTGCGACTAGATGGCGTACCGTCGCTATCAGCTTCGTACCAGGGAGGCCTCCCTAGAATCCTACGCCCTGTGTATTTTCAGTAACCAAATCGGCTCGACTGCGGTCTTCGGTTGAACTCTGCACCGGAATGGAATGCATGGGCGGACAATGTGGTCGATTTCGACACCGTTTATGCGTCATGGGTATTGCATTTTGAAGCGATATCAGCTCAGCGAGCAGCGGTACTGAGTAGTATCCCATAGTGTGATACCGTACTCCATGGGTTGCTCGTGCTGAACCAGAACCTGCCAGTTGCACGGTCGTGTCCACCACGCATTGATCACCGCGGTGTTTATGATTCCTTCTCTAGCACGAGTGATAGCAGCAACTGGTCTTGCCTGCGCTTGGATCCTGGCGGCCTGTTGATCATTCTTCAAACCTCTCGCTTCAACACCCATCTTCAGAAGCAAAAGCGCAACTATGCCAGAGGTGACAACAGGAGTCGGTATTGCCTTTGCCCTCACGTGGGCCGCGGCGTTCGCCACCTGCATCGGCGGTCTCGTCATCTTTAGCGCGTCCATGGTCAAGATGGCCAACGCCAAGAACCTCTCGATCGCGCTCGCGCTTGCCGGTGGCGTCATGGTCTTCATCTCGCTCGTCGAGATCTTCAACGAGTCGGTCGAGCAGTTCAAGGCTGGCAACGCCGACGAGGCTGGCGAGTGCGACTCGACGTGCGAAGGCAACGCGTGGGTCTTTACCAACATTTGCTTTGCCGTTGGCGCCGGCATCATCTACCTCCTCGATGCGCTCGTGCACCGTCTCTCGCCCGATCTCAAGGACGAGATCGACGTTGCGGATCTCTCGCGCCTCGAGCAAATCGTCGACGGCCACATGCCTCTTGTGACGCCCCGCAACGAAGCGGACTTTGATTTACTCGCCAACAAGGACAAGGCGGCCATGAACCGCACTGGTGTCCTCACGGCCATTGCGCTTGCGATACACAACCTTCCGGAAGGTGTCGCCACGTACACGGCGGCGGTCCACGACCTCAAGGTCGGCGCCACGCTTGCCATTGGTATCGCGCTGCACAACATTCCGGAAGGCATTGCTGTCGCGACGCCCGTCTACTTTGCCACCGGCAGCCGCTGGAAGGCGTTCTTGTGGGCCTGCGGCTCGTCACTCGCGGAGCCTCTCGGTGCCATCCTCGCCTTTTTCATCCTCGGTGACGGCCTCAACCCAACCGTGGAAGGCGTCATGTTTGGTATCGTCACGGGCATGATGGTGACGCTCTCAATCAAGGAGCTTATCCCGTCGGCCGTCAAGTTTTGCCCGGATGGCCACGCGGTCTCGATCGCGATCCTCGGCGGCATGGGCATCATGTCGTTGAGTCTCATCCTCTTTGCGTACGTCGGCGTCTAAGCATACGCACATCTAATGCGATGTCCGCTTTTGTTCTCACAATATTCTTTTTCCTTTTGCCAGCAGCAGCCAGGATTTTCCAGTATAGATCGGGTTCCTCTTCACCGTGTTGACACTGACGCGGGCGCATAGGCGAGATCACCGCCGTGACGAAACCCGTAAGCGGCAGGATCTCTTCTAACCGACTAGGCGAGCCGCAGATGACAAGTCGTGGTCGCGGCTGATCCACGTTCGACAGAGAAAGTTCTCGTTGACATCAAGCGCACGGTGTCGACGCGACCGCAATCCCATTTCGTGTCCGTGCTCCCTGCTGACTACCTACTGCACCGCATTTGCTACAAAGTTGACCTTCAGTCCTAAGAATAATGAATGGACATGCTCACGCGCATATTCTTCTTCGTCGTCCAGCGGTTTGTCGATATTTCGGAGTTGGCCAGTACGTCGTTATTCATACCAGGTCTCCACTTCTCTTCGAGTGACGACCGACGCTACCGCAGTCGCATCCGATCCGATTCACCGGCATGATATCCTATCCACCTCAAAACCAATCCAAAACCAAAGATACGAT